ACCGCAGCGACGCCGTCGCGCGGCCGGGGAAGGCCACCTGCCAATCCGCCCCGCAGCGCGAGGCCGTCGGCGAAGTGCGAAGCCGTCGATTTCCGCGCGAGGTGCGCGAGGAGTCGGCGCAGGAGCGGCCGCTCGGGATTCCCGTCCGCCGCCGCGGTCGATTCGTCAAGGGTTTCCGAGGGGGGGACGGGAAAGCGAAGCCAAACCTCGAACTCCTCCATGAGAAGCTTGCCGATGTAATGCCGCCGGATCCGCGAGGGAGGTGGCTCGAATCGCGCGGAAAAAGGGCGTGGCTCGCGCTCCATCGCGATATCTCGCACGCTAGAGATGGAAGAAGAAGACGAAGAAGAAAAAGAGGAAGAGGAAAAGGGGCCCGTAGCGCCCCCCTCGCCACGATCCGTGCAAAACCGCCGCAGGAGGGCGACGTAGCCGCCAACGACCTCGAAAAGCGCCGGATCGAACTGCGCGATGATCTTCGCGAGGAAAAGCGCCACCACCTCCCCCTGCACCTCGTGCGTGATCGCCCCGCACGAGGAGCCCTGCGGGATCGGGTTGCTCACTCGAAAAATGCACACCAACGCGTACGGCAGGCGCTCCGCCTGCACGACGAGGTTGGGGGTCAAGCGCGGTGGGAATTCAGCCGAAAAAGGCCGAAGGGAGGGCCCGTCGTCCGCGTGGCGATACTCCAACACATGAATGGACTGCACCCCCACGACGACGGTGCGCCCCCCGTGCTGCTCGAGCCACGCCGTGAGCTCCGGACTGACGAGCTGATTTCGATAAACGATGTTGTGCAGGATGCGGCGCTTTTTGCCCTCCAGGAGGGAATCCGCCGAGAAGGCCTCCGACGACGGATCGCGCGCGAACGCGGCCGTCGACGACGACGCGGTGGTTGCGGCAGAAAGGGCAAGCCACCCTTCCTCCAGCCTCGGCCACCGCACATCCACCCCACCCACAACAAAGGTCCAATGCGAGGCGGCGATGTGGTGATAAACGGGAAGAACAGGCGGGGGCCTCCCATCCGGCCGCCGCAATGCCCGCTCCCACGCGGATTTCACCACCCTCGCGGGATCGGCCTCCGCCGTGAGGAGCGAAATCGAAACACGGCGGCACATCAGCCGAAGATGCCAGCTCGCCGGGTGCATTTTCCGCTTTATCACCGGGGAAGGGGGGGGCGTGGAAGGATTTCCTCCCCCCCTCCCGGACGCGTCCATCGGATGAAAAAATCGCGCAAGGGTGGCGAGCTGATGGGGGGTGCAAACCAACCCCCACTCGGAGCTCCGCAACGTCACGTAAACGCCCGGGGACGGAGGGGTCATCGATCCCGATCCCGGCGCGTGCGAAGGGATGGAAGAGGAGGGATGGTGCGAGCGAGGGATCCCGGAGGCTCGCGCGGGTGCATGATAGGAAACATGAATCATATGGGGTAACTCCCCCCTCGGCGCGTGCTCAATAGTGGAAAGAGCGGGAGGCGGACTGCTTCGCTCGCTCGCCTGCGAGGCCATTAAAAGGTCGTCGAGGCCGTAGCCGAAACCCCGAGAGGAGCCCTCACCCGTCTCCCCGGCCTCCCGCCAGTCCGAGGCGCCCACCACGCGCATGAACACGCGCCAATCACCTATTTTTAACGAGGCCTCGAAGTCTTCTTGGACGGGATCCGCTCGATCCACCTTCGCGATGAAGCCGCCTTTACACTGAATATAGAGCAGCAGGGTACCCGCCGGTGGCTCGCAACCCCCCCCTTCGTTATTAGATGAACCATGCCTTCCCTCTTCACCCCCTTCCTCACCGTTGACGATGGGAGGAAAACGAAGCGTCAGGTGAACTTCCTCGACCGCGACGCACACACCTTGCATTTGAAGTTTGAGGTACCGCACGAGATCCTTCACCGAGCGAAAGCCCTCCGCAGTCCGTTTTGTCTTTTCATCCCCCGTTGCCGGCTCATTCGCAGAATTGGTTTGACTCCGCGGAGGTGGCATCCTACGCCGGAACTCCTTCGGGCTCATGGAGGAGAAAAGCCCACCGGTTTGTCTGCTGATGGATTCAAACATGAAATTGCCCACCTCTGGGGGTGAGAGCCCCTCTTCCTCGTCTTCCACCTCCTCCTCCCCACTCCACTGAAAATCTTCACAAGACGACCGCTCCAGTGCGGATAGCGATGCGTTCGCCTCATAGGCGTTCGTTTCACTCCGATCCGGACGCGCGATCGGCGTCTGAGAGTCTACTGAACGCGAAGAAACCGCCTTCGGAGGGGTGTAATCCCACACCATATCAATATGCTCCACCTCCAAGGATCTCCCGCAGAGTTGCCGAAAGAACGAAAGCAACCCTGAAGACTTGACTTCCGCCTTCACTAAACGAAAACTGCCAGTCGCCCCGCGCGTTGATGACGGTGTGAGGGTGGTGCCGTTAGTTGGTTTCTCGTTACGATCGCCAGGGGAGCTCGCAGAGCTAGCGGAGTTCGAGAGATTGCCATCCCCATCCAGAATAGCGTTCACATAGACGGCGTTGACCTTTAAGGTTTTCGAGCCATAGTCATAATAGCCAAGGTTTCGGAATAGCTTATTCTGCAGAGGGCGTAAAAAGTAATCACAAAAGATGTCCATCTGTGTGATGGCTGAGTGCGCGGGTAGTCCTTTCTCACACACACTGGTTTAGCACCTTCCTCCCTCCACCCCCCCCCCCTGCTTCACTCTCCTCCTCGTGATAGATCGTAATTCACGAGAAGTCGTAGTAGCAAATCGAAGTGAAGCAATGAAATCAAATAAGCAATCCGTCTCGTCTAAAGCAAAGATGGCTGTCTAAATACAGAAACAAGAATAAAAAAAGTGTTCGTTCACGCTGTCAGTACTCTAGATGAATGGTATAGATAAATCTCCTTATTGATATGCGGATACGTCTCTATAAGCAAGTAGCTTCTTCGAAAATAGTGATTTCATTCGATACTTACCCTTCCTCTAATGTATTTAGATGGAAATAATGAAAATGTTAAAACCACATCAATTTAAACGACACGTGTACAATTAGAGATCGTAAGAATTTATGCGTTGTTGCTCATGTTTGACAGTGTATAATACAGGCGAGCCACGATACCCCACCACATCCTCACATGCAGCCATTATCTTAATAATAACAAAAAACTTTTCCATTCTGCTGCTTAGAGTAGGGATCCCTTGAAATTTATCGTAAACTTTTCGACGAGAACTTGAGTAATAGACGAGGTGAGTCCTCCGATTGCGGCACCTCGTTCATACTACGATTGGATAAGGTTATCACAAAGTGCTTAACCTGTACACGCAGCGGCGGCATTTCCAACCCCGTCTTTCGTCTTTGATGAGGAGAAAAATCGCCATCCGTGAGCGCTAGCCGGACATTCCAGCAATGCTCCAATGCCTCCAGAGGATCGATTAGACTTCGTCGGCGACGCACGTTCAAAATAGGTTGATCCTCTGGATGGTAAAAACCATATAAAGGATCCCCCGCGTCATGAAGCGGGAGATTCACAAAATCCGAATCCCCCAGAGAATCCGCCCCCTCACCGGAAGGTGGGTTGAGCGAAGGGGTAGTGGAAGAGCCCACGCCCCACGGCGGCGCCTCCACCTCCGTCGTTTCGCCGTAGAGGAGGTCGTTAAGACGTATCGTGCGAAACGCATCCACCACATCCGCCGGATGCATCGCGTATTCCGAATCAAACCACCGCCGTCGGACCGCGCGAAAGGGAAAAAACACATCCGAATGCCCCACCCGCGCACTCTCCAGGCTCTCCAGCTCCCGCCGCATTTCGTGCAGGCGAAAAGACGCCTCCTCGTGGGCGGCATCGCCGGCGGCCCCCTCACGGCCCGCCGCTTCACACCCCGCGAGAAGTTCGCGTTGGTAATCGGCCGCGTCCTCGGCCGCCCATCCCGGCGCGACCACCCGCAGCCATGGGGAATACCCCACAATCGCGAGCACCCCATCCCCGCGCAACACGCGATAGGCCCGCGATAAATGCCACGCCGCATCCCCTCGCATCTCCGCCCCGAAGACGTTCCCGAGGAAGACGATTAGGTCGAGCGACCCCGGCGGCATCCCGTCCAGCCCGGGCGTGTCGTACGCCGACGGCGCCGGTGTCACAGCCGAGACCCGCGCCGGCAGAGCAGCCAAAGCCGAAGACAAGGAAGAAGCCAAAGACGAAGAGGAAGACAAGGAAGAAGACGAAGACGATAAGGAAGTGGGACAGGAAGAGGAAGAGGACAAAGCCGAAGACAAGGAAGAAGGCGAAGCCGAAGCCGACGCGGAAGGGGTCCATGGGGGTGAGGGGGCAGGCCCCGGTGGCCCGCCTGGTGGGGATCTCGCGCGGAGTTGGAAGAGTCGCGCGTGCGGGAGGTGGGCGCGCGCGCGTTTCCCCATTTCCTCCACCCCGCGTGGGGTCGACCGCGCCGGGCAGACGACGGCGGCCGCCCCGCAGAGGGGAACGGCGTCGGCGAGCAGCGCCCCCCACGCCGCCGACGGCTCCGCGAAGAACAGACGACGAGGCGGACGGAAATGAAGCGAAGCCTGGGGAAGCCCCTTTCGCATCGAGGGAAGGGCGCGAGGGCCGCGGTTTGAAGGGAAAGGAGGGGGGGGGGGGGGGTATAGAAATGAGAACTAAAAGAGAAAGCGATCAAGAGAACGCGCAGAGAAGAAGCGGAAAGGAGGGGTGTCGCGCACGCGATTCATTGGCAACTCATAATGACCTGGAGCATTCACACAGTTCTAAATAGTTCTACATAAAGATTTATTAAACCTTTCAGTCCATTTCTAGAACAGGAGAAAACGACAGCTCCTGTTTGTTTCTCTTATTGAAGAGATAAAATAACGATAATAATAATAATAACGATCAAAGTGACTGAAGCATGCACAATATACAATGTAAAATAGGAGAGGAGAGGAAATGATAAAAAGCCCCCCCACCACCACCACCACCACCCCACACACACCGCCATTTCGTCTTCTCCACAATCTACGGAAAAGGTGCGAGGAAGCGAATTTCCGGCACCGACTGTTGCGGCGACTTCTGCCAGCTACTATGCACATGCAGCCCTTCGTTCATCTGATTTCGCCGCACAATTTCTCGCCAAATCCCCCGTCGAAAGTGTTTGGTGTGCTGCGAAAAACGCCAGGGAACACCACTGCGGGGGTTATGCCCGACAAACTCCGTCATCTCGGGTCCGCGCTGGAGCTCCTCAATAAACATGTAGCGCATTCTCGTCCACGGCCGCGGAACGAGCGGCGACTCCGCCAATCCACAACGCATGCCATACCTCGCCAACACCGCCTGCGGCGCCTCCAAGGCGGCTTCCAGATCTTTATGCGGGAGTTTCGAGTAAAGCAGACCGCCCGGGCGAAGCTCCGCGAAAAGGGAACACTGCTCAATCGCGTCCATCCCGATTCGAAGGTCAAGCTCCACCGGGGAGGCGGATGGGGAGGGGGGTTGAGGTCCCCCTCCACCCCTTCCTCCTCCTCCCCATCCCCATGCCTCTTCCTCCACGAAAAAAGGGTTTAACACGACGGGGATGGTTTGCCCGGTGACATACATCACCACCGGCCCCGCACGAATCGCATTGGGGGGTGGAAAAGAAGAGGAAGAAGAAGAAGAGGTGGAAGAGGCCGTTGCGGGCGCCTTCCCCTTCATTTCTTCTCGATTGCCGTAATTCGGCGCGACATACACCGCCTCCTCAACGTGATACCCCGTAGGAAGTCGACGGGAAGGGCTGCGCAACCCTTCCAGCCAACTAAGCGGGAGAATCGTGGTGGGAAGCTGTGGATCCACAAGAGCCTCCTCGACCCGAATCCCCTTGCGGTGATCGCGGGAGACGAGTTTGTAATCGACGTACATTTCCCCCAGCTTCATGCGGAAGCGGAAAAGACCTGAACGCCGTAGCATCCCCTCTCTTTCCCCTCGCCCACGTCTCAATCGAGACTTAAAGAGTACCCTAAAAAATTTATATAACTCCCTCTCTCTCTCTCTCTATATATATATATATATTTGGGAGGAGAACTAATCGATTATAAGATTCGATGGGAGCTTTTTTAGCCTTCAGGGTTCCTTGCAAGTGAAAGGTGATCGTCACCCAAGAGAGTAAACAAAATAAGAGAAATAATAACAACATGCCGACTTTCAAATAGTGCGCACGTAAAGGGGGGGGCATCCGTGCGAAAAATACGCAACGCGTCAAAGGAAAAGTTTAAATACATATTAATTCTAAACTAATAATACATCAAAATTTAAATAACAACATTAAACATATTGAGCTGAAAATGTTAATTTTAATGCCTTACTTCTACTTTTCCGGATTGCGTTATACATTAAGATGGAAAAGAATTCCACTTTCTTTTTGAGCTAGAATGAATATACAAAGCGATAAAAGAAAATAGAGGAAGCCTATTAAATATAACATTTATCAGTTTTCCATCTGCCATCAGTGTAAAATAATTTTAACATCAAAAATTTCACCTCCATTGTAAAATAAACATTCAGATCTTTAGATAATAGGAATAG